ATCGTAATAACTTTTATTTCATTTTCATGTCTTATTAGCCAGTCTTTTGACTCTAGGGCTTCCTGCTCTTCTTGGGTGCTATCAGACACTCAGGGAACCATCCACTCTCTTTGCTCTGGACACGACACTCCCTGCTCTGCTGGGATGTTTCATGCCCCTGCTGCTTGGTAATTGATGAGGGAGATAACAGGAGGGTGGGGTGGAGGGAGAAACTGAACCAGATGGCTGAACTACAGCCCCGAAATCACCACCTATTAGTTGCCCAAATTATCTTCCACTCTCTACATTCACAGCCCCTACTCTTAGAGCACTTCCAGAAACCCTGCCACCTCCTGCAGTAGTATTTTCTTGCTCACACTCTGGGCTATAATTTCTACTTTAATTCCAATTCTGTTTGCTGTTCATCTTCTTTCAGGGATACTCTAGTCCTCTGGAGGGAAGTGGAGAACTCCATCTAATATTTCAGATCTACTATGAATTATAAAAGTATGTCTCTACTTTTTCTCTTAAGGATGGAATGACTGCAGCAATGCTCAATCACATATTTTGGGGCACTGAACATATATTTTTCTCTTTATTATTAAAGTACCAATAAGGAATCATCTCTTTGTTTAGCCACTGTGCTATAATGTGTACATCTGACTTGATAAGCACTCTACCTCTGTTTTCAGGAACTATCTGTCTTGCCTTACCACATCTCTATCATTTGGCACTGTGCCTAGCTCATGATAGGTGCTCAGAAATATTTGTTCTATCAATATATAATATGCTCCCGAAAGTATATAAAGCTTAGGTGTTTGTGGTCATTAATTCACACAAGCTAATACAGACTTAAATGGTTTTATTCACAGCATAACTAGGATAAAAATACGCACTTTACAAAATTTGGAATGCTTGAGCTAAAATGCTTAGAAGGGAAGAAAGTTATGAGCTGTAGATATGATCCATGGTAGAATTAAAGCTATGATGTTGGTTTCCCTGGCACTGTGCCTTCATAAACTGACTTCTTAGCTCTCGGAGTCTAAAGAGAATTACTCAGAGACACAAACTATATTGTCTTTACATGTAAATCGAGATGTGGATGGAAGGAAGCCCTGCCAGGCAGGGCCAGGGAAACCACTGCCTCCTCATCTGCACTTTGCACTTCCTGACAGGAGAGGGAGCCAGTGAGGATCGCAGCCACCTTTGTCCTGGGCCCTTTGCTGGGACAGGTCATCAAATATAAGCTGGGAGCCACTATGAAAAAAGAAGTCTATAAATTTTTGATCCCATTCCTATTAAGCATTTCAGGACAACAATACAGAGGTGGTCAGGGTACACTGGTTGTCTCTGTCCTGCCAACCCCAGGCCCGACTGATGCCCCCTTGTGCCAGAGCAGAGCAGATCCCCTTCCCTTCGGCTCTCTGTTCATGAGCCTGGCCGTGGCTGTGCACCCTACAGCCACCTCTTTGGCGTCCTTTTTTGGCTGGCTCTGAGTACGCTCACCCTCTCTTTGTGCTGAAGGGGCTTCGACTCAGCCCCTGGCCTGGACAATCGTAGGAGTGGGGTTTGAGGGATTCCCTTCTCCCCACCCATAGGCCTATAGAGGGGACCTGACAGTGGGCCAGGGTCACTGGCTGGTCATCCCTCACCCACACCTTCTGGCACACCACCCCCAGTGACCACCTCCAGATAATTGGATTAAACTTGCTAAGTAAGAGTCTCTGGAGAATCTAGGTCTCAATGTTCATCCTGGGGTAAAACAGTGGGCTCAGTGGCAGAGGGGGCAGCTGATAGATACTGTCCTTCAGTTCCCTGGTTGTCATTCTTTAGCATCAGCAAACTCAGAACCCTCTCCAGGGAGCCCAGGCCCTGGTTCTCCGTATTTGATCCTCCTGGCATCCCTATCCCTACCTCAGAGGCTAGGGAGGTCCTGCCAGTTACTGCGTGGCCAGAGGACAGAGGTCTTCTGGTAGGAGTGGTAGAAAGCCCTATGGGCAGGAGTCGTGAGGACTTTAGGTCAGTAGCCATGGTCTTGAAGGTCTGTGGCTCCTGCAATCAAAAACAGTAATTCTGGTTGAAAAGTAAATATTTAAGGACTAAGCAAGCAGGTTAGGAAGTGAAACAAGTAATTCTGACATCATGAATCCCTTACATAGGTAAGGCACTTTACAAAGCACTATTACAGCCATTACCCCATTGATGTCTTAAAATTATGTGAGGGAGGCTGGGCAGGCTTTCCTTCCACTCTACAGAGAGAACAGTGAAGCCAGGAAGGGTCAGAGCCAGTATTCAAACCTGGGTCTCTTGGCTCCACATCAGTTGTGTTCTCATTCTCCTGTTGGTACCTAGGAACAAAGCTCTCTTTATGAACTTCCTGCTGAGTGTGTGCTGTTGCTGGAGTGGGAAGGGTTGGGGGGTCTGAGTGTGCAGTCAAAGCTGCCTGGAGACAGAGTGCTGCTGCTGTGCAGAGCATGAGTAGGTGTGGCTGCTAGAAGATCGTTAGTGGAGTTCCCAGTGGCCTCCTCTCCTGGTCAGCACCACAGGTCTACACAGGCAAAACCAGCTCATGGGGGTGTTACTGTCTCAGAGGATTGGCTTCCTGAGGAGCCCTCAGACCTTCCTAAGGCAGCTGCAGTCAATTTCATAGGTAAGGCAGTGGCTCCTGGCAAGTCCTCTTTCCTCTCATCAGCAGGGGAGCCCTCCTTGACCTCCTGCTAAAGGCCAAGCAGCCCCATGCCATGATGAAGCAGGCTACCTCCTGTCCTAGCCTTGACCTGATGAGAGAGGTTGACCTGTGACCAGGCCTCAAATTTTCCCTTTTAAAAGGCTCAGGGCAGAAAGAGGAAGCTATGTGCCTTTACCCCAGCTCTGTGTGGTTCCGCCACCCCATTGTCTGGGCTTTCCTTTATGGGGAACAGAGCCAAATACATTTGAAGTTGAAAAAAAACTATTGTTTCATCTGGAACCCCATAGACTTTCAAAAATATTTTTGTTTCGAATTACAGTAGTAGTAGTATGCGTTAATGTTAGAAAAACTAAAAAAATTGTAATTTGCAAAAGGAAGAAAATAAATAATGTCAAAACTTCACCATTTGCATTTAACCACTGCTAACATTCTGGATTTTTTCCCTAGGAATCTTCTAAACATACACCCACACCCACACATATATATACATAAAGACTTTTTTAAACTGCAGTTTGGTATGCTGTTTTTTTCCCTTTCAGTATCAAAAATACATACCATTATATATTCTTCAACATTATTTTTGATGAATATATAGTATTAATTTCATTGCATCAATGGAATTATGAAACAATGTATTTAATCACATCATTACTTTGAATATAGTGACTATGTCATCTCTTGTTTTTATGAGCAAGGTAACAGTGGTTAAATATCTGCATGCCATGTTGATTATTTTGTTCAGATAAATTTCAAGTAGCATTGCTGGACCCAAAGGGTACACAAACTTTTAAGGATTTCAATGCTTATTGCCAACTGCTCCCTAAGAAGGTTGAATCATTTTCTACTCCCACCAGTACTGTACATGAGTATTTATTTCTAAAGACATTTGCCAGCCCCAAGTAATATTTGTTAAATCATGACCAATTGCATAGATGACTTATTCTGATCAATAATATTCATCAGTAGCGAAGTTAAATATTTTTTTCAGTTTGTTGGCAATGCATATTTCCTTTTTGTTAATTAATTGCCTCGTGTCCTCTGTTTATCTTCCTATGGGTGTTGGATCCCATTCAGGTTAACCTCCTGAGCTCATGCTATACTTGTTGCCTGTCAACAATTTTTGAGTTTCAAGTTACTCTGAAGGTTTTGTTTTGTTTTTTTTTTTTTTTTTTTTTAACTAAGACACTGCTATCTAGGCTGTGAGTCATTTCTTAGATGTATTCCTTCTTATAACTCATTGACAAATTATCTTGTTCCCTACCGACCCTGAGGAAAGTGATGTCCCAAAGGTCTAAGATTTCTGGAATGACTTTACATCTCTGTCCGATCTCTAGGATTCACAGTTAAGTGGATAAACACAAATTACATGAGTGAGGATAATGCGCAAGTAATAACATCCTGGGCTCACGCTCTACTTGTCACATGCTAACAATAATTTTTGAGTCACAGCCCCTCTGAGGGTTGATTATTTTACTAGGACACTGCTATCTAGGCTGCGAGTCATCATTTATGTATACTCCGTGCTTGAACTTGTTCACAAATTTTCTTGTTTAATACTGAACGTGGAGAAAGGGGAGGCTTAAAAATCCAGGAATACTGGAATGATTTTACATGCCTCTTGTGTTTAGAATTCACAGTTTAAAAAATAAATATGAAAGAAACACACTAGGAAGACATGTAGGTGATATGGAATGGTAAGTCTCAGCCTTGCATCTGGGTTCTGGGTGAGGAGATGAGGTGGGATAGAATGAAGAATGGGGACATTTATTAAAGGCATATTTCATTGTTTTATTTTTATCATTATCATTACAATGTAGAAAAGTAGAAAATAGTGAAAAGCAAGGGAAGAAATCAATTTTTTGTTGTTTCAAATCATTTAGTTCAATACTTGATTTTCTAGAAAAAGAGCTGTGAGCCAACCATAAAGGAAGTAAGAACTAATCTGTCTCCAGCTGTCTGCTAGGTAGATCTTTCTGTAGCATAAAAATCCATGCTTTGGGATTCAACACACTCTTGGAAAGCATTTTCTGTCTCCTGCTGTTTGTGGAAGCATTTTCTCTGCAAAAATGTTGAGATGCTTAAAGAAGTGGTAGTAGTTGGCGTGAGGTCAGGTGAATATGATGGATGAGGCAAAACTTTGTAGTCTAATTCATTCAACTTTTGAAGCGCTGGTTATGAGATGTGCATGCTGTCAGATGTTCCGATGGAGAAGAATTGGGCCCTTTTTAGCTGCAGGCGTTGCAGTTTTCAGTGCTTCTCAGATGGAATGGTTTCGCCAGGATTCAGAAAGTTGTAGTGGATCAGGCCGGCAGCAGACCACCAAATAGTCACCATGGCCTTTTTTGGGTACAAGTTTGGCTTTGGGAAGTGCTTTGGAGCTTCTTCTCGGTCCAGACACGGAGCTGGTCGTCGCCGATTGTTATATACCCCACTTTTTGTCGCACATCTTAATCCTATCAAGAAATGGTTCGTTGTTGTTACATACAAGAAGAGATGACACTTCAAAATGATGATTTTTTAAATTTTCAGTCACCTCATGAGGTACCCACTTATTGAGCTTTATTACCTTTCCAATTTTCATCTAAATGATTTGAAATGGTCCTTTCTTTCCTTAAAGTCAATGCCATAATGAAAAACATGAGCTCCAGCATCAGCCAGATGAGTTTCAAATACTAGCTCTATCAGTAACTGGCCTTGAGAAGGTGGGGAAATTACTTAATCTCTATGGCTGTTTCTTCATCTGTATTATAAGGATAATAGCGCTAATCTTAAACATAATTTTAAATATTGAATAAAAATGTGCATGAAGCACTGAGCTTTGCTCAGCACATATGTGCCCCATGATACATTTTTGTTGCATTGATTCAGGCTTCTGGGCTAGGGTAGGGGATGGTATTGAGAATGACAGATAGGGAACATTGTTATAGCTGTTGTCAAGGAAAAATGAGTTTGTTGGTTGCTTCTCAGAGAGTAGCCATGCTACCCCTAGAACACCAATAGCTAGGAAACAGTATCTAACCCTTTGGGCTCTAACACTGGCTTCAATTCTGATTCTTTACATTTTGTACCTCTGATGACTTTTGTCCTTGTTTTCACAACTTAGCTTTCTGTTGCATGTCTAAGACTCCTTGGTCCACCAGAGATTTCACCTCAACTTCCCATCCCATCCCATTTCCAATACAGACTTCCTAAATCACCTAAACAAAAGGAAACTTTTTTCCAAGGAAGGTAATTCGAGTTACACTTACACCTATATCCTGTGCCCAAGAAACCCTGTGATCAAGAAATGGTTTTTCAAATGTCTTACATCATTTCTCTTAGAGCTGAAAGCTCAGCAATTTTTTTTGATATAAGTATAAATTAAATCAACATGATGCTATAGACTTTGATGGGTTTAAAGACCTACAAATAAAAAATTTTGTTGAGCCAAGGTTAATCCTGTTGTCTTTATCCTCTTCATGCTAAGGAATTTTTTGTCTCTATCCCCTGTATTCTCATCCTAATGTAACTGGCTCCACTGTAACAATCTCCCAGCACCCTCTTCCTCTTCTCTATGCTGTTCTCCACTTAGCAGCCAGATTGTCTTTAAAACATGGACATTGGATCCTGTCTGCTGGCTTGGTCTTAGCATCACAGTCTGGCCCTGGGTAATCTGTCCTCTGCCTGCCTCTCCCTCCCTCAGGCTGCATACAGCTCCCTCCCCAGAAGCTGCACCCATATTGGAACTTTCCACAGCATGAATAAACCCCTCTCCCACATAGGACCAATGCTTCTGCCCTGGTCCTACACATGACTTTCAGGCTTTGGATCTTAGCTCAAATGTCGCCTTCTCAGAGAAGCATTCCTTGACTGGCCTATATGACGGGTCCTTCCCACTTACTCTCTCTCATTAGCCCATTCAGCTTCCTTCACTAGACTGAATTTGTGTCTACTTATTTTTTCCCCCATGAGAATGTTAACCTCTTGAGGGTGGGGAATCTGTCTCTCTTGGTCACCACTGTGCTCTAGCATCTAACAATGCTTGGTGATAGGAAGTAAATAAATGGTTTCTGACTGGATTCACGATTGTTTTTAACAGTGAAAAACTGCAAACGTCCTAATTATTCAATAGGGGATTCATCAAAAAAGATGATACAATCATGTGACCAATATGCTGTATAGAGGAATACTTTATGGGAAGACAAAAATGTTAATGCTATTTTTGTAATTAAAACGTTTGTCTATAGTAGGTGTTTAAAAAAACACTGCAAGGAGCCGCGGGGCCCGGCAAGCGCGGAGACGTGAGGGAGGCGGCCGGGGCTCCCGCCTCAGGAAGGGCACGCACGGAGGGGCGGCCGTGGCGCGCCGCCCGCCCCGGCGCCCCCTCCCCGGCGCCCGCCCGCAGCGCGATAAAAGAGCCGCGTTTCCTGACGGGAGACTCGCGCTGCTGCGGCCGCCCGCCAGGCGCGACGACAGGGAGCCCCTGACGGCTGCGAGGAGCGGCGCGGGCCGTTTGCTGACCGGATCGCGGCTGCCCACCGGCGTGTCTGCGGCGCCACCGCTGGCATCCACATTTCCGAGGGCCCGGCGGTGTACCAAGGCGACAAAGAGGCTGAGGTCGCGCCGGGGCCGCCGCGCCGCCACCGTCGTCAGGCGGGCCGTGCCTCGCACAGGGACAGACGGCCGCCCTGCCACCGCCCGAGGCGCGCCGGAGCCTGGCGAAGTCAGCGGCAAGAAGGTAGCAGTAGGGGAGATGCAATTTGGCCCCATGAGATTTCACCAAGACAACTTCACGTCCTTGCAATAGTGAATTGTGCTGCCATAAACATTAGGGTGCAGATGCCTTTATAACAATGTCTTGCGCTCTCTTGGGTAAATAATAATGTTATTGCTGGGTGAATGGCATTTCTATTTTTAGCTGTTTGAGGTATCTCCAAATTCTTTTCCACAAAGGTGGCACTAATTTGCAGTCCCACCAGCAGTGTAAGAGTGTTCCTGTCTCTCTACATCCTCACCAGCATTTGTTGTTTTGGGATTTCGTGATACAGGCCAATCTCAATGGGGTTAGGTGATATCTCATTGTGATTTTAATTTGCATTTCTCTAATAATTACAGATGTTCAGCATTTTTTTAATATGTTTGCAGGCCATCATTCTGTTTTCTTTAGAAAAGTTTCTGTTCATTTCCGTTGCCCATTTCTTGATGGGGTTGTTTGATGTTTTTCTTGTTAATTCTTTTGAGTTCTAGATAGATTCTTGTTATCAGACCTTTATCAGAAATGTAGAGAGCAAATATTTTCTCCCATTCTGTAGGTTGTCTATTTGCTCTAATGATAGTTTCTTTGGCTGAGCAGAAGCTTTTTAATTTGATCAGGTCTCATTTGTTTATTTTTGCTGCTGCAGTGATTGCTTTGGGGGTCTTCAAGAATTCTTTGCCTAGGCCAATGTTAGAAAGGGTTTTCCCAACATCATCTTCTAGGATTCTTAGGGTTTCATGCCTTAGGTTTAAGTCTGTTGTCCATCTTGAATGGATTTTTTGTGAGAGGTAGGGATCCTGATTCATTCTTCTGCATGTAGATATCCAGTTTTCCCAGTACCATTTATTGAAAATAGATTCTTTTCTCCAATGTCAATTCATGATTGGATTATTAAAATTTGGTATATGTTTACAATGGAGTATTACTCAATTCTAAGAAATGACAGCCAGCTAGCACTGCTTATATTATCCTGGATTGAGCTTAAGCCCATTATCCAAAGTGAGGTGACACAAGATCAGAAAAATGGGCTCCACATATACTTGCCATCAAATTGGTACTGACTAGTCATCAATATGGTGCTCAAAGGGTAGTGTTATTCACCAGAGATTCGGCGGTGAGGGGATAGACTCACATCTAAGGGATGTGGTAAACACTGTGGAGGGGAAGGGCATACCTCTAACCCTTGCTAGGTAAAGGTAAAGTTATAAAATATAACCAAAATGTTAAAAAAAAACCAAACATTTATCGGGTGTTAGGCAGGTGGGGGGAAGGAGGGGACATATATATATATATGTTTTAAGTGTAATGTGCATTGTCAGGGGGATGGATACGCTTGAAGCTCTGACTCAAGGGGGGAGGGAAGGCAGGAGCAATGTATGTAGCCTTAACATTTGTACCCCCATATTATGCTGAAAAAAAAAAATAAAGCATATAGCATGGAAAAAACCAAAAATACAAAGATCAACTTCAGGTGCTTTTAGTGTTTATCAAAGATGATAATCAGTGTAATGGATTCTGCAGAGCATGTGAAAAAGCAGGGTTTAAGTGTACAGTCACCAAGGAGCCTCAGGCTGTTCTTGCCTGTTTCCTGGACAAACATCATGACATCATCATCATAGGCCACAGAAATCTTCAACATCTGACGCAGAGGCACTGTGCAGGTCTATCAGATCATCAGAACTCTCAGAAAACACAGTTATTGTTGGTGTAATATGCAGGGTGGATAGAAAAGAGTTATTTATAATGCCTTTCCTTGCTGCTGGATTCACAGGAGGTATATTGAAAACCCCAACATCATGGTTTACTACAATGAACTGCTCCAGCTGGAGTTTGGAGAGGTGCCATCACAACTAAAATTCAGGGCTTGCAACTCAATATTCACTGCATTAGAGAAAAGTCAGGAAGCAGTTAAAATTATAAGTGAAGACCACATTATACAGTATGCAAACCCTGCATTTGAAACAACAATGGGCTATCAGGCAGGTGAATTAATAGGAAAGGAGAAGTGGCTATAAATGAAAAGAAGGCTGACTTGCTGGATACTAGAAATTCATGCATCAAGATAGGCAAGGAGTTTACTATGCCAAAAAGAAAAATAGAGATAATGTACAACAAAATATGAAGATAATACCTGTCCTTGGACAGGGAGGAAAAATTAGACACTATGTCCGTTATCTGAGTGTGCAATAGCAACTATAAGGCTGAGAAAATATCTGAATGTGTTCAGTCTGACACTAATACAGGTAATCAGACAGGCAAACATAAAGACAGAAGGGCCACTGGACGTCAGAGCTGTCGCCCACCCCACCCCCCAATCTAGTGAAGTGTCCAGCCAGAGAGGACACTCCTCCATGGCCCATATACAATCCATGATGATTGAGGCACCCATCACCAAGGTAATCAATATTATCAATGCTGCCCAGGAAAGCAGTCCCATGCCTGTGACAGAGGCCCTAGACCATGTGTTAGAAATGCTAAGAACCACTGAATTATACTCACCACAGTGCAGTGCGAAGGATGACAAGCCTCATGCCAATGACCTCGTTGGCGCCTTAGTGTCTGACAGTTTGCGAAGACTATCAGGGAATGAATATGTTCTTTCAACAAAAAGCATTCAGCAGGTTTCAAGCAATATAATCACTCCGATCTCCCTTCATAATGTCCCACCACGGATATCTTGGGCCATGGAAATTGAGGAATACTGGGACTTTGATATTTTTGAACTGGAGGCTGCCACTCACTATAGGCCTTTGATTTATCTTGGTCTCAAAATGTTTGCTCGCTTTGGAATCTGTGAATTCTTAAACTGCTCCGAGTCAACGCTGAGATCATGGTTACAAATTATTGAAGTCAATTATCATTCTTCCAACCCCTTCCACGATTCTACACATTCTGCTGATATGCTTCACGCCTATTTTCTCTTCAAGGAGAGAAGGAAACATTAGATCCAATGGATGAGGTTGCTGCACTCATTGCAGCCACCATTCAAGATGTAGATCACCGTGGGAGAACCAACTCCTTCCCGTGCAATGCTGGAAGTGAGCTGGCCATTTCGTACAATGACATTGCTGTGCTGGAGAGCCACCACATGGCCTTGGCCTTCCAGCTGACCACTGGAGATGATAAATGCAATATCTTTAAAAACATGGAGAGGAATGACTATCGAACACTGTGCCAGGGGATTATTGACATGATCCTAGCCACAGAAATGACAAAGCACTTTGAGCATGTTAACAAATTTGTCAAAGCCTCTGGCATGAAAGCCCAGGAAAGAAGGAAGCACCTTTTAAAGTTTATAAAACAGGAAGGAGATAATGAAATTGGGAAAAGAAAATTGGCAACTGTTTCCAAAGACTTCTAAATGCGTCGCACAAGTGGCACAATAGAAAGGTGAAAAGTGCTATACTTTAAGAGGCTACATATATATCCAACACAAGCACAACATAGACACAAGCACAACATCTCAAAGTTCATCTAAGGCTGAGCATGGTGGCTCATGACTGTAATCCCAGCTCTTTGCGAGGCCAAGGCAAAGGAGGATCCCTTGAGGCCAGGAATTCAAGACTAGCCTAGGAAATATAGTGAGACCCCCAACTCTACAAAGAATTTTAAAAAGTCAGTTATGGTGGCACATGCCTGGAGTCCCAGCTATTCAGGAGGCTGAGGTGGGAGGATCATTTGAGGCCAGGAGTTTGAGACCAGCCTGGGCAACATAGTGAGACCTCATCTCTACAAAGAATTTTAATGCGTAAGGCATGGTGGTGCATGCCTGTAGTCCTAGCTGTTTGGGAGGCTGAAGTGGGAGGATTGCTCAAGCCCAGTAGTTTGAGGTTGAAGTCAGCTGTGATCATGCCACTACATTCCAGCCTGGAAGATAGAGTGAGACCTTGACCTAAAAAAATAAATCTGTCTATATTGGGTATTTAAAAAATATTTCAATTAGGTACCAAAGTATTAGCAGTGCTATCTCTGGGCGTGAATGATTTTTCTTACTTTCTTTTGGAAAAAATTGTATTTTAAATGTTTTATATAATGAAACATGTATGGTTTTGAGTGTGACAAAAATTATTCTAAATGAAATCATGTCATAATGACCTAGCATACAGTGGGGAAAAGAGCAGAGTTTGGATCAACAGTCCTTAAGAACCTGGAGTTTGAGTTGAACTCTTTCTCATTTCAGCTCTTGAAAGTCTAGAAAGTGATGGGGAGCAACCCATGAAGTATTTGGCCCAAGTTGTATTGGAAGAAGTTGAGAGCAATCTTGCCTCCCAAATCCCTACTTCCAGGATAGCAGAATGAATAGCAATTTTGTCAAAGCCTCGGGCATGAAAGCCCAGGAAAGAAGGAAGCACCTTTTCACATTTATAAAACAGGAAGGAGATAATGAAATTGGAAAAAGAAAATCGGCAACTGTTTTCCAAAGACTTCTAAAGGCATCGCACGAGTGGCACAATAGGAAGGTGAAAAGTGCTTCACTAATAATAGGCAACTTATACAACTGCGGCACAAACATCAGTGTCTAAAAGTCCACCTAAAAAGGTGAGTCTTACTAAAAGCTAGTTGTGAGTCACTGTAAATATTTAGAGCTGGGGACTAAAGCTTTTTCTAGTTGTTTGTCAGATGTCAGGGAGACTACTCCATAGTAGACTCTCCCACCTGTGGTCCAATGGGATGGGCTGCTCAAAGTTAAACCTGAAAGGGTAGATTTGATCTGGGAGATACATTACGTTGGCTGTTGGCTAGGAAACTGTTGTCTTTCTGGGAGACTGTTGGCTATTGGCATGGATATTTGCCAAGAAAACTTACTTTCTCATTCTACAACAAGATGGCTTCCATCCCAGTTCTTGGGGATTGGGGATAAGACCGAGTGACAGGAACAGCTCTGGATGCATCTCCTTCTTCAACTTTCAGGAAAGGTTTCACATAACAAAAGGGAGGAGTAGGTTGGCAGGACAGCATGGTACTTAGTTTTCAGTTCCCTTTTCCATTTCCACACATGTTGGATGACACTGACGTGCTTGACACACTTCTGTGGGTATGTTCAGGTTGCAGGTGACAGCACAAGAAGGTTGGCTGTGGGTTATACACAGTGGAGTGCCCAGGACTCCAGCCCTCCTCTCACATGAGAAAGCACATCGGTTTTCTGTAGAGCAAGTGACATTATTGTTGGGATAACTGGAGTCCTTTCTAATTTATAGTCAAAAATCAGTCTGAAACTTTGGTTTGAATCTGTGTTCCCTCTACCACATAAGAGTTGTAGGGTCTCCCAGTGTCTCCTACTTTTTCTCTGTCCTGACTGAGAAACACAGAGTGCCTCAACTGCTCTGTGACCCGACCGCTGCACACTCTCCCAGCAGGCTTGAACCCAAGCCAGGGCCTTGAATATTCCCAGACATGGATAAAGGTGTTGAGTTTGTTGCCCAAAACACTGAAAGAAAACGGCCCCTTCCCCTGAGTCCAATTCCTTAAAGCCTCCTGTAACCTCCATATCATGAGCCCGTGGCAGTTGGACATACCTAGTAGAACACCTCTTTCTTGCGTGTCTACTGTGGGGAGGGCTACAGTCCACTCTTTATGTAAGTTCCCCTAATAAATGCGCTGGACTTGTCCCCCTGGTGTCTAGTGCTTCTTCTTTGGAATCCCAACTGCCTCATCTCTGGATGGTTTTGGAAACGCACTTGCAGGAACTCTGCCAACATTTTGTGGTGACTTCAGCCCCTGGTTTGGCCAGCCAGGACTCAGTTATTACTGACTAGTTTTTTTATGCTACTTCAGAGCACTATGCTTAACTTCCTTGTGCCTGACATCTCTTTAAAAAATGGTATTTATGCTGGGTGCAGTGGCTCATGCCTATAATCCCAGCACTTTGGGAAGATGAGGTGGACGAATTGCTTGAGACTTGGAGTTCAAGACCAGCTTGGGCAACATACCAAGACCTTATCTCTGCAAAAAATTTAGCCAAGTGTAGTGGTGCATGCCTATATTTCCAGGTCCTTAGGAGGCTACAGTGGGAGGAGCACTTAAGCCCAGGAATTCCAGGTTGCAGTGAACTATAATCATGACAAATTACTCCAACATGGTTGACAAAGTGGAATCTTGTCTCTGAAAAAAAAAAAAATAATTATAATACCTTCTGTATTTATTGTTCCTCCTTAGCCTTCTTCATTTTTCTTAAATAATGCATTCGGGTGACTAGAATAGAGAATACCTTCCCCATCCTTCCTTAAGGTAGGTGTAGCCATGTAACTAAGTTCTGAGTTTAATTGGAATGTATGCCTTCCAAGAAATTTTTTTTCTCTATTTTTATTTATTTGTTTTTTAAAGTAAGAGACAGGGTCTTACTCTTTTTCTCAGGCTGGTATCAAACTCCTGGGCTGAAGCAATCCTCCAACCTTGGCTTCCCAAAGTGCTGGTATTACAGGTGTGAGTAACTGCCCATCCCCAAGAATTATACTTAAAGAGCAAGGGCTCATTCATTTTTGTCTTGTCTGTCTTCTCGGTGACTAGAATGTGAACATTATGGAGGGAGCTAAATCTCTATCTTGCACCATCAGGAGGAAGTGATATTTTAAAGATGGTAGAGTCAAAAGTAAAAAGGAACCTAGATCACTTATGAGAGTAGAGCTGTTTACCAATTTTGATAGCTTACCTTCAGATTTTGTTCATGAGAAGGGCATTTGTTTGAGGTTTCTAGGGTCAAGGTTGAGGACTACAGCCTGGGACACCCTTCCAAGTTGCCTTGGACAGTATTCTGTAGAACAAAATAGAGGCTAAAGTTTTTTCAAACAAAAAGGACAAATCAAGAGAAGGGGTGATTACAAAACTTGTCCATTAGGAATGCTCACTAGTTTACAGAAATAACATTGGCTGTACATTGTTAAACTACAGCACAGGTGTATGGCATTTTATGGCTACTTGGTATCAAGTTAGTCTAGACCCTCTGTCATAGCAAGTGGCTTCGAGATATAATTATTTAGGTCAAACGGGAGTAAGCCCTGACTGCTATTACATTTTAAATGCCTTTTCTGGGCCTGATAATTTAAAGGGGCTCCCACAGTTCAGGTAGAATGTGGTTTTTTTTTTCTTAAAAAAACTCCAGAAAACTAGGATTCAGAGAAACAAATATTATTAGGGTGTTTCTCGAACTGTTCTAGGATGAGGCACATGGGGTCTTGGGGACAGGAGCAATCTGGCCTTTAAAGAGATATTTTCTCTTATAAGACAAGATGATTTTATGGGACTTTCCCAGTACTTAGGTGGTATGGTTTAGATATGGTTTGTCTGGCCTCCCAAGACTGACATTGAAATTTGGTCCTCAGTGTTGGAGGTGGGGTCTGGTGGAAGTCCTCTGGATCTTGGAGGCAGATCCTTCATGAATGGCTTGCTGATTCCTTGTCCTCATCCTTGTATGAGTGATTGAATTCTTGTTCTTAATTCCTTAGAAAACTGGCTATAGAAAAAAACCTGAAACCTCCTGCAGTCACTCTCTCCCTACTTTCTGGAGTAGGACCCATTTTCTCCTTCTGTCTATGGACATCAGAACTCAGGTTCTTTGGCTTTTACACTCTGGTACTTGCACCAGTGCCCTCCTGGGTGGCTTTCAGGCCTTTTGGGTGGGGGTGGGGGGCACGCTGCACAGTCAGCATCACCAGCTTTGAGGCTTCCAGACTTGTGCCTTGGACTGAGACATGCTACTAGCTTTTCTCATTTTCTAGCTTTTAGACAGCCTGTCATGGGAGTTTGTCTTTGTAATCATATGAGTCAATTCTCCATGATAAACTCATATATATATATATATATATATCTTATTGGTTCTATGCCCCTGGAGAACCCTGAGTTATATATACTAGGTTATATGTCTCACTCAAGAGCCTATGTTTTCTTTCTTATGATCCTATGTTCACCAAGCCATCTTCTAATTCACATTTGGCTTTCCAAATAGGAAGAGAGAAATAAGCTTATGCTCACTGGAGATAACTCCTTTATAAATGAACCCACTGGCATGAATGTAAATTTAGTGATCACACATTTGTAATGAGTCTGATAGTTTCTGAGTTTACTAAGATAATTCAGGTCTGGACTGATAATCAATTTAGATCTTTTGAATGAATGAATGCCAAGGCTAGGCAAGACCCTGAAATAAGCTGCCCTGCAGAGGTCCTGCTCCTGCCCATACATGGCTGACTCCCTTCCCCCACCTACTTGCCCACTAAGGTACAATCATTAAAGTGTATAGCCTTAAATATCTCAAAAATAGAATATTCATATTCCCCCTCAAAACACACTAGCCCTCTTGACCTCCTTATTTTTGCTATTCCAATTGCCAAAGACCTAAATCTCAGTGTTTGATTCATTCAAAGGCAGGGACCCAACTTTATTATAAATTTATTTAGTTTTAGATTTATATCACCACTATTTCTAAAATGAGATTTAAAGAAATGTATAATAAAAGCAAAGGGACACCAAAAAAGACCCCAAATAGTAATAGCTAACATTTGTTGTGCTTTTATAATGTGGCATATAAGGGGGGGGGGGAGCCCAGAGCAGCATCCCCAGAACCCCTGCCCATGCACTGGGGCAATTGTTTAAATGTATTTTGTTCCCGGCTATCTACTTCACCCATTATCTTCATGCTCCTGGAATAGCTAATCAATAGCTTATGCTCATGTAAATTCCTGGTATCAATTTAGGAACTGCCTCTTTTTTCCTTAATTACCCACTTGTGACTGCTGCTAATCAGAGTATATATTCAGGGAAAGTGAATCTGTTCTCTGGGTGGTCATCTTCAATGGCTGGGCTAGAATAAATTCTATACTTAACCACGTTTTCTGATTCTCAGTAGTTAAGGCTCACACAGGCAAGGTGTTGAGTCCTTTATGTTACCAGGATTATCTGATTCATCTCAAAAGTGACAAATTAAAACAAGTAACTGAGGCAAAGATCTCAATCAATGCAGATTTATTAAACCAAACCTTGAGGACCCTCCTCGCAAAAACACAAGCCACAGATGCATCCTTAACTGTTTTTTCAAAGAGAGATTTGGGAACTTCAGTATTTAAGGGGAGAGGGCATATGGAAGAAAAATGAAGAGGAGGGATAATGGGTAATGAGTTGAATGGTTACATTCTTGAGAGTACCAGGAAATCTACATTTTCCCTAAGATAAAGTAAATATCTGAAGAAACAAAGGGAGTGAAGGAAGAATCAATTATTTAGATATTCCTGGGAGGGGAAGAATGATTGCTCTTGTCTTGTCTCTGTCTAGCCCCTGGGAAGATAAACTTGTAATCAACATTATTAGTATGGAATCTAACAGACTTCAGTTTGTTAGATTACAGACCTAAAGTTACAATTTGCAAGTCCTTGTTTATGAGAGGCCAAAAAGGAATTCCTCTATGAACAATCTCTGGGATCAGTTCTCATAGATGCCTGAGGCCTTTTATATTAATATTCCTGTGGGGATCTAGTTAATGCATAATGTTAGTAACAGCTATTAATATGGAATGAGGTAGTACATGACTCAGGCTTCAGGCTTGAGTCATCTTTTTGCATAAGAAGTTGTGGAGGTGGTACTAAGATTTTTATTTTCCCTTGCATTTTCCCCCTCCCCTTGTTCTTCAAAATTTTTCTGAGAAAGCATGTAGAAGACATGAGTTCAAGGTCATGTGTTTAATCTAATCTAACTGCACTAAGAAAGCTCATTTTTAGGATATCCTATCCCACAGAAAGGAGGGATTTTTTTTTTTTTTCTTTTCTGTGTAGAGACAGGTTCTCCCTCTGTTGCTCAGGCTGGTCTCCAAATCCTGGTCTCAAGCAGTCCTCCCACTTCAGCCTCCCAAAGTGCTAAGATTACAGGCGTGATTCACCATGTCTGGTGAAAGATGGGCGATGAAATCCAATAGGACTAATGTCAAATTGTAGGCAAATGATAAAAACTCAAAAACAATGAACAGCCTAGGATTTAATAGTAGGTCTACTGTGGTTTATTCTGAACATAAATTTTTCTCTCCCCAGTTTCTCATTTTTACCAAGGATAAATGCTAGTAGGACCAATTTATTTGCAAACCAAACTGTAACCCAACCACTGCAAGTCCACTTGCTCAAGGCTTCTTGGGCTTGGCTCCAGATCATGGTCCTCAAATTTGGCTCAGAATAAACCTCTTTAGGTTATCTTACAGAGTTTGGTTTCTTTTCCATTGACATTGCATTAGTGTATTATTAGTGTAAATGCTAATGGTAACCTTATAAACAAATTCATCTAATTTTAATCAGTTTGACCACAAAGTAAGATTTTTTGAACTTTTTATAATCTTTTACAATTTAAAAAAATTATTTTAAAGTTTTTAATCATTTAGTGTAATCATTTTTTTGCTACTCAACAGAATTCCTCCTTTCCCCCCTCCTATAACCTGTTTTGTCATGATCTCAACCCCTATTCTTTGTTACCTCAAGAACATCTATACCCCCCTCATTGGAGGTTTGGGACTTCATTCTGAAGGCTCCCGTATATGAACTTTAAATAAATTTGTATGCCTTTTCTCCTGTTAATCAATCTGCCTCCTGTCAGTATTAGCAAATCTCTAATGGAGTCAATCGTTTGGGCCCCAAAAGACAAAGCCCAGGGTTTAATGTTAGGAGTGTAGCTCTCTAAATATAAGCCTCCTGGGTAGGAGTTAGGGGAGAATAGACAGGTGAAGATTCACAGGCTATTATTAACTGCCTCTATCATCTCCATTCCTATTGTCACTCTTGAAGTCCAAGTCCCTATGGCATTGTCGGGATCACTGCACAGTCTAACTTGGTTGCTTGCTTCTAGTCTTTCCCTGCCAAACCATTCTTCACACTGCTCTGGCTTAATATTTCCAAGGCAATGCTTTTGCAATTTTATTTCTCTGTTTAAAAATGTCTCAGTGATTTACAAATTGCTTACAGTATAAAGTTCAAATTTACCCGTGTAAAAGAAAATAAAAATCTCAGGAACACCTGCCCAACTCCTGCAAAAAGGAAGGTCAAGTCTACTGACATTTGCTTTAGCCAGAGCCCCAAGAAAAGATAAAAGGCCTCAGGCATCTACAGGAGCTTCCGGCCCTGGTCATTCACAAGGAAATATTTTGCTGGCCTCCCAGAAACAAGGACATGCAAATTGCAGCTTTAGGTCTACAGTCTAAAAAAATAAAATCTGTTGGATTCCACACTGATAATGTTGATTCCAAGCTTATTTTCCCAGGTGCAGAACAGAGGCAGTTGGAGATCAACTATTCCTCCACCCACCCACAAATATCTGCACAATTGATTCTTCTTCATTCCTTTTGTTTCTTCAACATCCACCTGACCTTATGTAAAATGTCGATTTCCTTGGCACTAACTAAAGTCTTGCAAGAATGTAACCATTTGTTTTTCCACCAACCTGACACTCTTGCTACATGCCAACCTCCTCTTAGGAAATCTATAAAACGTACAAATATACAAAGAATGGGAAAGAAACCCGGTCACACATGTGTCTCTAGCTTGTGTTTTTCCTGGGTGTGCTCTAAAACTGATTTAATAAACCTCCATTGATTGATATCTTTTTTTTTTTTTTTTGAGGGAAAAATCTAGAGAATGATTGACATCTTTGCCTTAGTCAATTTTGGTTGCTCATTAGCTTGCTGTTTAAAGCCTTCTACAACCAGACCCCTACTGACCCCCACCCCCACTCTCTATCCCAAACTGGAATAGTCATGACCTAGCAATGGGGGGAGGGAGTGATGCAACAGGGTAAAACCCAGTGTATCTTCTCTTCTAAAGTGTCAATTTACCAGATAACAATTACTTAAGAACATTATATTTATGCTAAAACAGACAAAGAGGTCATAGGGTAGAATGCAACACTTACACGGATTTTAAAGTTAAAGTTAAGACTTTAAAGACTTTTTAAAGATTTTGCTGGGCCACATTCCCTTCACATTCCTGAAGGGCATGGGTTCCTTGCCCCCTCCCAACTGCCCCGGTCAGTGGTAGTTGGAAGCAGATGACAAATAACTGACCCTGGAATCAACTTTTGGAAATTCCCTCCTCCGAGCGTTTGGGCAGCCCGTAACTCGCACGGCTCCTCGGCTCACAGGCCTTTCCTGCAAGTCCCAGCACAGTCACTAAATCGGCCGGGAAGTCGCACCAAGTACTGATGTCACTCCAGGGGACCAACTAGCATCGAATGCTCCCAATGATCATTTCACAGAACCCCGCTTTCAGAAAAGTTGTCTGGCACAGAGTAAAATCGATTCCATACACTTACCATGGAGAGAGTGCTTTCCCTGCACCATCCCCTGCGCGCCCTAGAGATACTGAGGTGTGCAGGGCCGAGAGATAATATAACTGAGGCCCGGACATACTAAGGCCTGAGAAGAGCCGGGAGGGACCAGAGACAGGCCGAGTTTGGTAAACATCGGCCAATTTGATCAACCCAAGCAACTATCAAAGACGCCAACAACAGCCTCAGAAGATCCGTTAGGTCTAGAGTGCGCAGGCGCACGGCGGGGCGTGGTTACGCTGTCCGTTAGGAGACGTGGTGTCCGTTAGGAGAGCAACCGTGGGCCCGGAAGCTCTACACGCAGAGGGCGGGGCCAGACCTGAACGGGCAAATGATGAGGCGCTACTGAGGTGGAGTCAGTGTGTGATTGGCAGGCGAAAGACCAATGAGGGTGGAAAGGTTAGGCCAATGAAGGCGGCACCTTTAGTTGAACTGGAATGGCGGGTAGGAGTTATGACGACTGGTAGTGTGTGTCAGGGTCTTCAATTTAGGCCAGCTATGCCAAGCGTTTTCACATAGTATCTTATGTAGACGTCACTACAACAGTATGAGTGAGCACTATTTCCCACCTCTGTTTTACAGATGCGGGAAGTGAGGCTCAGAGATACTAACCTAGGCTGGGTACAGCTGGGATCCCCAGCGTGGCAATCTGCCCCTACAGCCCATCCTGCAACGGCTCTACAGGTCAACTGGCCCTTAGAACTGGGAATCAAGGCGGAGCAGGGTCCAGTACAGAGGACTGGGGTGAATGCGCTTGACCAGATTGCTGACAGAACTGTCGTAAACGTGGACATAAATACCAACAAATAGCTGGGTGGGTCCTACACAGTGCGAGAGCTCAGAGGATGGAGATGGGAGGGAGACAGGGCAGAGCAAGGCGAGAATGTGGGTGTCGTGGGCCAGGCTGCCCCCCAGCTGGTGCAGCCTGGCGGCACTGCAGTATGATGCGGCTCTGGGTTAACAGCAGGTGCAGAACAGCTGCTCTCTTGGGGCTGTGATATGTGCCAAGTATGAGAAATTAAAGAATTTTAGGAGCATAACAAGTAGTATATGTACCTGAAACAGAAGTGTCTCAATTTACTGGGGTGGTCATACAAAATACCATAGACTGGGTGGCTTAGAAGACAGAAATTTATGTTCTCACACTCCTGGGGGATAGGAAGTCCGAGATCAATGTGCTGGCAGGTTCAGTTCCTGGAGGCCTCTTCCTTGCTTGCAGATCACCACCTTCTATCTGGGTCCTCACATAGTGGACAGAGATCTCGGTTCCTTTCTCTCCTTATAAAGCTGTCAATCACATTGAATTAGGACCACACCCTTATGACTTCATTTAACTTTAATTATCTTCTTAAAAGCCTTATCTCCAAATACAGTCAGATTGGATTTAAGCCTTCAACACATAAGTTTGGGGGGCGGGACACAGTTCAGTCCATGGCAGTAGTTTGTACTCAATGAATACGTAACAAATAATGATTGAGAACTGAAGAAAATGACACTTGGAGAACTCACATGTACCTGAGGTACTTTCCCAAATCTTACCTGGTTTAATGGGCATGAGATTTGCTGGGTTGGTGTGTGCCTTAGCAGTGGGGGAGCATTCTGAGAACTTGGGGGTAGGGCAAAAAGTCTGTGCTGTGTTTTTCTATTGGGAGGTATGGAATGTCTAGCTGTCTTTTTTGGGGTGACATTAGCAGCCCTGATCAATACGAATTGAAGCACAGGTGCAAAGATGTGAATCAACCCAAGTGCCTGTCAATTCATGAGTGGATTAGTAATATGTGGTATGTGAATACCATGGAGTATTACTCAGCCATAAAAAAGATTAATTAATACCTTTTGCAACAATCTGGGTGGAACTGGAGACCATTCAACTAAGTATCTGAAGAATGGAAAAACAAACCACATATACTCACTATTAACTTGGAACTAACTGATGAGCACATATATGCACAGAGGGAAGTAAAATTCAGTGGAAATCAATGGGGCGGGGGTGTTGGAGAAATTGAGAGATCCTTGCTATCTGGAGGGACAATATGTTGCAGGCTTACCTTACACATTTTTGGCCCAGACCTGGCATCAGCAATTTCTCCAAGAGATCTTGGTTTCTTTTAGTGATGATGATATCATCTCCAAATGATATTTGGAGACACAATCTTGATGCCAGGGGTAAAATAATAATTTAAATTTTCTAAATTAACATTATTGAGATATAATTTACATGCCATAAAATCCACCCATTTTAAGTGTAAATGATTTTTTGTATAATTATGCACTTGTGCAACCATTACCAAAATCTACTTTTAGAATATTTCCCTCATCCCAGAAAGAAAACTTGTGCCCATTAGAGTCACTCTTTATTTTTATCCGTGGCCCTTGGCCACTACAAATCTACTTCATCTCTGTGTATCTGCCTGTGCTGAACATTTCACATAAATGGAATCAAGCACTAAGTGTCCTTTTGTGTCTGGCTTCTTTAATGAAGCATTATGTTTTTGAGGTTCATCAATGTTGCAGCATGTATCAGAACTTCTTTTTATTGCCCTATGGTATGTCATTGTTTGGATATACTAGATTTTGTTTAATCCCTTACCAGCTGATTATATTGGCATTTAGATTGTCTCTACCTTTTGGTTCTTGTGAATAGTGCCCTTATGAACATTATATTTTTGTGGACATATATTTTCATATATTTGTGGACATATATTTTCATTTCCCCTGGGTAGATGCCTAGAGTTGAGATTGTTAGATTTATGGTAATTCTAGATTGAACACTTTAAGGAGCTGCCACAATATTTTGCAAAAAAAAAGTGGCTGCAGCATTTTATATTCCCACCATCAATGTATGAAGATTTCTATTTTTCCACATCCTCTCTAACACTTGTTACCATCTGAAGATTTCTATTTTTCCACATCCTCTCTAACACTTGTTACCATCTGTTATTGGTTATAGCCATTTTAGCAGATGTGAAATGATATCTTATCATGGTTTTGATTTGTGTTTTCCCAGTGACTCATGATGTTGAGCACTTTTTAATTTATATATTGGTCATTAGTATATCATCTTTGGAGAAATGTCTAGATGGACAAAAGTTTTTCATTTGGCTGATGTCCAATTCGCCATTTTTACCTTTTGTCACTTGTGTTTTTGGTGTGTCTAGCTCTTTGTACAAACAGTTTACCAGGTTCCCGCTGAGTCTCCACTCAGAGAAGTTCATGGGCAACCACAGGACGTTGTGCAGAAGATACAGGTGAAGAGCATAGGAAGCAACACCACCATGGAGTAGTCACTTTGTGAAATGCCCAGGGCTCCCTGGGCTCCTGGGACCTGTCAACAATGGGGCTGTCGGTCCAGAGACTGAGCCAATAGTTAGTAGCCAGGGCCACAAGAAGGAGGGGAGTCCCAGGACACAGACAGCTTGACCTTCCCTGTCTGACCCTCATCTGCCTCCATCAGTTTCCAGGTTCCTTCCTTCCTTGACACCAGATCTCTGCAGCTTGGCCATGCTGCTGTGGTGTCTACTGACATCCCTGCTGTAGGAGGAGCTGCTGAGCTGTCTCTGAAACTGCCTGTCCACGGCATCCATCACCAGCCTGCCATTTTCCATGCCTGCTTGGCCTCTCTTCCCTTGCATTGCTGATGTCTGTCATCCCATTGTCCTCCGAGGCTCGGGCCTGCTGTGTGCTGGGGTACATGCACAGGAACTCGGCAAAGGCCCTGTCCCAGGCCAGCGCTTCTGGTAGGAACCCATTTAGGAACTTTAGATGTTTCCATTTGGGTATGACAAGCCTTTACCCAGCCTGAAAAGATATCTACTAATACCAAGTGAAACTGCCCATCATTGAAAGTGTTGCCCCCCAACCCCCATGTTGGACTCCCTGTGCAGTGGGCGACCTCTCTGTCCTTGGATTGTTTGGAGCATACAGTTTGTTGCAAACAGGGTCTTCCCAATGAGGTCCCACCGAATCCATTAAGGCGAGCACACCAACAGTGCATTGCAAACAGGGTCTTCTCCAAATACATTAAGACATTTATGTGGGTGTCTTGTAAGAGACCAAACCAACACTTCAGGTAGAAGAACAAGTCCATGAGAATTCTGTCTCCACTTAGCTGTGCCATCCCAAATGGTAGAGTTCCAGTCTTTAGGTTTAAAGAGGGTCTAAATCTAGCTGGAGTATCAAGTCCCCAGAAAACAGATCACGTCCAGAAGCCTCCTTAGCAGCCCTGTCATTGGCCTGATTTCTTTTTGCCATGCCAGCCACCTACTTGGGCTTAGCCACAGCCCGTATTGGGGCCATTATTTTAGTGGCACACTTAATATTCTTATCTCCTGCTGTCAGAAGACACCTTCTCTCTCAAGGGGCACTATGAGCATATATAATCATAAAAGCATATTTCGAGTCCAGATGAACTTTTTTCCTCTCGATAACTGCAACTCAGCTTCCTGGGCTGGAGTCCCAGGTGACAGTGCCACTGCTGTCATAATTGCGCATTCAGCCCCTCGTCCATAAAACTGTTCCATTAGTGAAAAGGATCCCAACCTTGCTCTGGCATCAGCTGATCTGACAGATCCATCCTGCTAGAATAGAGTCTCCAGAACCTCTAAACAGTCATGCTGTAAAGACGAAAGGGTGACAGGATTGAGAACAGTCCATCGATAAGTAGCTGCTATGGTCCGGAGGCAGAAAGGCCAGCCTCTCATTCAATGGTGTTCACATGTCACTGGCCACAGGATACCTCTCAGCATCTATTCTAAGACTCTAAGGCTCATTCTCTGTTTTCTTCCCTACAAGGGCTTTACCGTCAGCTCTGAAGTCTGGGATCCAGACGCCATTCCTAGGAACCTTGGATAAGCTAAAACAAGTTTACAGATCTGTCCGATTGCAGGCTTTGCAAGTCCTCTGCTAAGCTTTCACCAAGCAGGGCAGGAGAGCCCTTTTTTAAAACTTCTAACACAGTCCAACAGCACTGTAAAGCCACTTTAGTCCCAGGATCCTGTCATTTAAATGTTGCCATTCAAGTTCCCCAGCCACAGCTTGTCTACAGCTGCCTCACTGCTGCCTGGCCCTTCCCCCATGGCTCTCTGCCAGGCTCGCCCAGTGCCAGTGCAGCTGGTGCTGGGGTGAGGGCTGTGGCGGCTGGGGCCAGTGGAAGGAACCCCCTGGGCTGCTTCTGTCCACATGGGTTGGCACCACTGAATTCTACTCTCAATGTTT